ACGGTCAAAAACATGTTTATCGGAACTAAATGTCATGTTAATCTCTATCAGACAGATAGAAGAAGACTGGCTCCTAAATGTCTCTGTTCTTCAAAACATCTTTCTGTCTGCTCCAAAACATTTCTCTGTTTGTTCCAAAACATCTCACTGTCTCCTTGACTAGTAATAACCCTCTTACGTCACTAAAACCACACCCCTGTTGGTTCGTTTCAACCAATCAGGAAGTTCTCAGAGGAACCGGAAGTGACCTCTTTAAAAGGGTCAACACTTCCTAGTTCCAGGCAGAACAAGTTCCAAACAGTTCAGTTAGGAGAGCAGAACCGAACCGAAAAGTTGCTGGAGAGAACAAGAAGTTCCAGACATGATCCGAAGTTCTTCCAAGTCTCGTGGGGATTATGGAATCTTCCACATCTGAGTGGAACTCTGACGGGCTCACAGCTCATGTGAGTCCACCCGTGAGGTGAGCATGCTGTTGAACGAAGTACCGTCACTACTCCGGACGTTTTTCTGCTATCCTACGGAGACGCTGGAAAGGTAGCGTTAAATGGAACTCCGTACCAGTGGAGACATCTTCTACAAGGTAACGAGTCCCTCACTACCGAAGTGTACCGAGGTGGAGCTGGGTTCGAAAGGAGGGTGCCGTTCTTCGTCGACACATTTTCCCTCACACATCTTTTCTCTCCATTTAAACTCCTTCATTTCCCATCTTTAAAACTCTTCTATCTGCCAGTAATTCATCCAGATATTTTCATAAATGTCTGTTGTATTTCAGTTGCAAGTGAAAATCATGGCCGTATGATTTTCTCATTGTAAAGCTCATTAATTAAGCTGTGTTATTGTAATCAATCTGCCAATTGATGTAAATGTGTGATGTGTTTAAACCGTTTTTAATAAACGACCCACTGTTGTTGGTGAGTCAGAAATTTAAACACGTTTCCGTCCACATTTAATATTCAAAACACGATAGTACTCAGTCCAGAAAAATGAAAGAATCCGTTTAAATTATGGATAATATCAGACAGGTATTATTTCA